GGTTTGGATTTTATCAGTTCAGGAACCGAAAAGTCTTTCCTGGCGAAACCGTTTCATGGTGGGCTGCTCGATTTTCAACTGGCTAATTTCTCTCGCAAACACGAGGAGTCATTTGGGCGTCCCCGCTCCGTAGATGAGGACCTGCCGGTGCAAGTCATCACCGGAAATCCTCGACTAAAGACAGGAGAACCAGACGACGAGGTTGGATGCTGCAGAACAAACGGTCTGACTTTGCAACCCGATGCGGTGTTTGGGTGTGCAGCAGATGTTGGTGCGGCAACATGCATTCTCTGCCTGCACACAATACAGAAGCACATCTTGTAAATTGTCTGGCACCCACATTCGGTGGTATACAGAACGATGGCATACTCAAATCGCCAGTGCGTGATACGGCATTGAAGCAGACACTTAATTTAAGCTTGTTCCATTTGTGTAGTTTGGAAGACGTCACGGAAGTGACGTGACCAGTTCTCGTTTACTTCAACATCGAAAATACGCGGTGTTGAATGTATTTGGGATGCTTTCTGTGACCACACACGCCCAAATGAACGCTTAGGGTGGCTTGTAGCTTCTGGCCGGACTGTTTCGGTCAGTCCTCCATAATCCCCAGATCTGGTATTTAATTATCAGTTCCATCTTTTAAAGAAACCGGGTCTCCTTTATTGATCTAATTATACACAAAAAACCAGACTAGTTATCATTCGGTTCTTTTAGTGAATTTATCTTTTGAGCACAACTCCAGTGTTCGGTCAAGATTTGTTTACTCAAGTGCAGCCCATGAGTAAAATTGCAAATTGCCGTTTGACTTTTATGAGGCCGAATTTCGGCCAGGTCGAACTGCCTCTCTTTTCAAACCGATTTAAACTTGCTTCGGTTTTGGCTACTTTACGTAAATACAAACGTGAGGTGTCATGTAATTACAAACGCGCGCGCGCACACACACGCTCAGTGTTTAGGTTTGAAATTGTTGAAGAAAAGTGGACAGCATGGATGTGAAGGGGGTTTTGAAATGTGCGAGACAGTGAGGTTTTTGTAGCAATTTACTGACTAAATTTGCATTCTAAGCAACTCCGCCTTCCAGGCTTAAAAAGTGCTCGTTCCTCGTTCAAGCTTGCAAAAACTCACATTCAAGTATTGACTGCCCGAAAACGGCGTTTTTTATCAAAGTAGGTTGCACAAAGTCCTTTCACACCAGCTCTGCTAAATACGCCAATGGCACGCGTGTATCACGTGTTTCGTGGTTTTGGTTTAGAGGCTTAAATTCATGCATAAGTCGGCTTATTTTGTTTAAAAAATCAGGCTTCTTAACGGGCGTACTGCAGAACTATGCGCGCAAGTACGACTTCCCGATCGACCACCTGTCCTTCGACTTCGTTGTGCTTCCCACTTATCGTGACCAGGAGGGGTACGTGTCGACGTTGCGTGAACTCAAATATGGCGACCAACACCCCGAAGACGCGCCCATTACTGTCCCCGAAGACGGTGTTCTCATCCACGGGCTCTTTATGGATGGCTTCAGGTGAGTCTCGTCTCGCGCTGCTATTGGACGGCATGTTTCGCTGTCTCGGAGGCAGGTATGTGGTGCAAACAGCACCCAATGTGGTCCCTGACCTTGATTGATAGCTCTTTTGTGGTGGAGTGAGTCAGTACTCGGGAAATCGAGTAACGCTTGGCGTTTTTTTCCACGCAGGTGGGATGATGAGACGATGATGATTGCAGACTCCCTGCCCCGAGTCACGATCGAGTCCCTTCCGATGTTGCACATGAAACCCGAGATGGATTTCAAACCAGCGCCTGATCGGTACATCGCCCCGCTCTACAAGACGTCTGCTCGCGCTGGAGCTCTCTCCACAACAGGTAAGCCGTTGCATTTTTAATTGTTTAGTTGATCGACTTGTTTAAATGCACACGAAGTTACCCGAGCGAAGCTCAGGGGACGCCAGAGTATTGAATCAGGCCAAATCTTGTTTAAGCACATTCCTGTCTAGTAAACCACATAACCAATTGCGATCCGATAGTTTGTCACGTGCCGCCGCAATCACAGTGACTGTGTACAATATGGTAGCAAACCCGATTGACTTGACACATTAACCGGAATCAACGACTACATTTAACCAAATTTCCATCTCACAATTTGCGAAACACATCAGGTCACTCAACAAACTTTGTCGTGGACGTCGCGCTGCCCCAGAACCTGACCAGCACGTGGTGGATTGAGAAGGGCGCCGCTCTCCTCACCATGCGAGACGACTGATTAGCATTACCGGTATTGACGTGGTTCACGTTGGTTTCTCGTTTGCGTTCAGTGTTTACCCTCCCTGTCTCCCTTCACTGCCCTATCTCATCCCCTGTGTGAATCTTCTGTTTGGTTTTGTAGGTATTTCAACAAACTTCATTATTGCAATCCCCTTAGCAACCACAGAATCGCAAGACCGATGGATCAACTGTGGCGCTGCGCTGGTCTGTGAAATGTAAACTGCACAGCCGACACTCCGGCTCCTCTTCTTCTTCTCAGTCACCGCTGTAAATTAGGGCTTTCATAATCACAGTAGAAGGCTGGTTGAAGACCTTGTCTTGTTATTTGTTTTGAGTGAGGTCACTTTGTAAGGAAACGAAGAAGCATATTAGATGCCCTGAGGTTTCAAGAATAAACACTTCACGATTCGCAATTCAAGAGTCCAACCACAGAAAATCGCTGTCAATACCAAGCCACTTTGGATGGCGTTTCGTCATGTTTAGTTTGCAGGGAGACTGATTTCAAGGTATCGTGCATTACAGCTATCGTTTATTTCTTCGAGTAATGGCACCACTTAGGTTGGATAGGTTTCTTAAGGCCTATGGCCAAGACCTACGCGTATAACTGCCACAAAATGAACCAGTAAATGGAAAAGAAATGATTGCGTACATTCACCACACAGATCGCGGTCTTGAAAATGTTTATATTAACACTAAAATATACGGTATATATATAAGTTTCTTGAGTGACAAAGGTTGCTCTTATGTACACACGTCAGGGGGCAGTGTCATCTTCTTGCTTCTCCGTCTTATCGATTGGCTCCTCGTCATCGTACACGACGATATTCCACTCTTCCGTGGGCACACCATCGTCTCCACTAGCAGTCGAGGGATCGGCAAGTTCGATGCCGGCAGGAAGTTGGGATTTGATGCTGGCGGCTACACTGGATGATTCGTCGCCTGCACCAATGTAGTCTGTGTCGTAATCCTTGTACCAGGCCGGGAGGCGACGTGCTCGAGCAAGACGTCGACCGGACGACATCGGCTGCTGGAGACCAGCACTAGGATAGTGCTTGGCCGATTTCTTGGCTAGAGACGATTGAGGAGTGAAGCCAGTGGAACCAGGCGCCAACTTTTCACCTAGTGGTCTCACTTCCTCCTCTCCACTTCTCACTTCCTCCTCATTAGGTTTTGGAACGGCCGATTTGATTAATGTAATGGTGCGACGAGTTACATCTAAAATAAAGTAGCTTTTAAGCACTCCAAGGTTGCAAGTATGTGAATAAGGGAATGCCACATTTTGACGAGCAGTGAGAATCGATTAGCATTTCAGGAACCAATGCAGTATCAATTGAAACAGTACTCGGGAAAACATACCAAGTTGAAAAAGGTACCCCTTAGCGAGATTACGCAAAAAAAACAAGATCAACTCACTTGTTCCATCGTCGACAGGAGCCAAGTCATCATCAACATCGTCTTCAACATCAAAATCATCTTCGCCTTCCATGTAATCGCCTCCCTCTTCATTCTCCTCCTCCTCCCCGTACAACGAGTCAAATTTGCTTCCACGAGGGCGCCTGCGTTTAACACCAGAATATCGCGTGGGTGGGAGCGACGCAGTATCCTCCCCATCTTCCTCTTGTCGCCTGTGTTGATCATGGTGACGATCAAGAAGCATGATGGAATTTGTGGTGAATTCACACTGACTGTAGCGACACTTAAGCCTACCAACGGCGCCTCTTGACTGACGGGCGTTCCTCTCCTCTGCATGCATGCTGCGAATGTGAGCGTCGAGGTCTTTTTTCATCTCAAAAGTGGACTCGCAGTACCGGCAAACATGACGCCGATTCACCTTGAGAGCGTGAGCTCGGGTAATGTGGTGGTTTAATTGATTAAAACCAGGAAAACCGCGTTCGCCACAGACGGGACAGGATATAATATGACTTCCTTCGTGGGCTTTGACATGAGCCTTTAAAGAAGCGACGTCACTGACATAGGCGTTGCACGGTAGACAACGAAACTTGGTTTGCAAAGTACGAACAATTCGACAGCTTCTTGTGTGCTTGTTAAGATTATAGATGCTGTCAAAAGTCAGTGAACAGCCCAGGCACTCTAAGGATAACTAGATGAGGTGTATTAACTACAATACTAGGTTTACCTGAGAAGAAGCCATCATAGCAAAGTGTTCTCGGAGTTCATGTTCGCGAGTTCTCAAATGAGCTAAATAGATGTCGTAAGACGAAAATGCTTTGTTGCATGTGTCACAACGAAATATCTTGTCTCGATAAATGTGACGATTTCTATGGGTTTTCATGTTTGCTTTCTGAGCAAATCTTTTGTTGCACACGTCGCAGACGAAGGGCTTCTCCCCTGTATGAGCCCGCTTATGATGCTCCATCGTGCCGCCATTGTTCGTCATGTAGTTGCACTGATCGCAGTGAAACTTATAGTTAGCTGGATTGCGTTTAGGCTTTTTTGGATCAACATGGCTGCGCCTAGCATGTAAGAAGAGTTGGCTGAGTGTTTCGAAAAATTCTTCACACTGTCGACATGTGTAAACCTTGACGAAATGCTTCTCACGCATATGTTTAGTAAACGCGTTGGCGTTAGAATACATGGCAGGACAGGAAGGACATCTATAAGTAATCCCGCCTGGTTGCCCACCAGCAAGCGTTAAAAATCCTCCGGCGCCAGAAACAATACCAGGAGCACCATAATAAGTCTTCGTTGCGGGGTCAAAAAACTGCATTTGGTCTGACACCTCAATCAATTGTGTTCCATCGACTAATCCCTGGTCACTAAGCTAAAACCGCTGGGTTAAATATGCACACTTCACGAACCTGTAAAAACTCAGTACCACCTTCTCCGCTTACTGTGGCAACAGCACCAGAAGCAATCAAATTTTCAAGCGTTGCCATATCCAAGTTCTCATCTGTGGCTATGAGAAGCATATCTTCACCGTCGTTCTGGATTCCCAGGTCATTTAACGACAAATAGACTTGTCCATTCTCTCCACTGGTTGTGTACGGCAACGTCGAGTAAGTCCCGTCGGGGTTAACGATAACAGACGTCGAGTCGTCGGGGACCATTTGCTCAGACATCCTGCCAGAATTCAAATTCAATAAATTCTGAATAGAAATAGGTAACTGTAAGCTGCGATAGTGAAGTAAGAGAGGGGACCAGGGTGGCAAACATTAGGATAAAACTTGTGAGGAGAGTAAACATAAACTACGCCCGTCGAATTTCGTCAATACAAACAAAAATAAAAAGCAATTTAAACAACTAACTTCGTCGGACTCAAGGCCAATATGGCCGCTGGTTGTAGCCGCGTTAAGGGGTACGGACTGGTGCACTAAAACAAATATTGAAGACTGCAAATTCTTAAATAGCTTGTTATTTTATCAAGATATTTTATGCATTTTGTACATTATATAAAAAGAAGAATTATAACAAACAAAACTTCTAAGCTGGTTTAATCTAAACGCAGAAAAACGTCATCAGAAAAAAATTTGCTGAAAATTGGGTTATTTCAATTTACTGATATTAAAAGCAAATATTTAAGGATTTAAATACCATTATTATACTTCGCATCGTCTTAAACGCATACTAAGAGCAAAAACTTTTATTTTTAAATATAAATATACAGTCGGGTATTTGAATTGCATTCTAGCCATTAAGGCAACATAATGAGTGATCATCGACGATAAGGTAAATCTAAGGCTCTAAATATTTTGTCATATTTTTATTACAAATATTCACACAACATTTTTTTACTTTTCTATTTCCCTTTATTCGCCCTAATATCTTTTTAACAAGTTTTATTAATTTTACCTATTCTCACCCATTTATATTAGTTTTATTATCATGTAAATGACTACAAAAATTTGGATTTACATTTGTTTTTGCATGTGGTTCGTTAAGTTTTTCGCCTGTCAATTTGTAACCGGGAAGCGTAATTTCCGCTTATATATTTTATTTGAAAATGATCATGCGCACACTGTTTACGGCATTCTACTGGAAAAAAATTATTTCCATCTCTTTTATGACCCGCGAATTTTCACCATTACCGGTTAATATGGCAATGATGATGTCTTAATTGTCACCTTTATTCCTCTTTTATTTGGATTTACTTTTTCACCAGCTGACTTCGCTACTGAATTTGTTTATAGCATCTACCTTACTTCTAAATTGTTAGACCTTAAAACACGCCAGCGTGCAAACTCCCCCCACCATTCCTACGTGCCTAAATTACCATTTCACACGATATCTGACACCCAGCTATTGCCAAAACATCACCGACTAGATTCGATGAAACCTGCGAAGTATGCATCCCCGGTCCTTATTTCATGTTTATCTAGTGTAGGCTGATTTCCTGCTTCTAATGTAATCTATTCCATAGTTCATAGAGAAACGCACTGAAGGAGCACTCTCAGTCAGTGAGCCTTTTTTATGCGCTATTGTAAAATCCCTCATTTCTACCGAAATTACAATCCGTTCAGTCTAGTTGAATTGGCAACAACGACCCACCCACCACCTTAACAAGTACAAGGTCACTATTGGTTTGATTTCCAGAATTTGACATTGAACACAACCAAGACATCACCTGTTTGAGTTTCAGTTAAATTCTTCGCAACTGGATTAACTTTACCTTTCTCGAGACGAAATCGTATATCTAGTAAAATCAGGACTTGTGTTTGAATTACGAATCATAATCAGAAAATTCTAATGTTTTGTTAAATAAAGCAACCGGTTCCAACATGGGACTACTAGGCAAAACTGACAAAAGTCATTCCTTGCCCCCCTGTCAGTGTGTTAATTAATGAAACTAGCCAGTAATCCTTCCAACAGAGTCAAGTATATCAAGATTCACAAGCAACAAGGCGATTCCCAATTAGAAATTCTGAAAGGCCAGCACGCAAAAAATTCCCGCTCCAAGCAAATACCAAAAATCACCACCAAAAAGGCTGCTTTACAAATAGCTAATTGTGGAGCATTGAATTTGGTGAGTCGTATTAGTGATTACACAGCACACATTATCTACATCACGCAACCCAAGCGCCCCACGGAAACAAAGTTTTTATATAAAAAATTGCTATTAAAAGAGTTCGAAAAATGGCAGTGATGAATAAACTTAATGCGTGAAAAAGGCTGCGACCTAAAACAGGAAAGTGTTTGTATAAACTGGACCTAAAATTACCTCAAACCTCTGAAATGAGACGCGTTTGTCACCAAGCTTACGATGCGTTTGATGCTAGAAAAGAGGATATCGATTTATCCTAAAAAGTACGTAGCTTATCATTGAAGACCCTTTACCTGAGGCCTCAAAGAAATGCAGCCATCAAGAAGGTTTGATCGTAATCCTTCAGTCACGTGTGTTCTATCGGCCTGAATAAAAGGTGAAAATATAAGACCCAACACAGTCATACAACATTGGATCCGTCGTCTTGGGTGACCGGTCGAGTATACAGCGCACGATGAAATCTAAAGTAAGTCAGAACGCAAATGTGTACCGTACCTCTCGCAGCTTCGACGTCCACCGATTAATTGAGCGAGACAGTCTTTTAGCAGAGTTCTTTGTGGAGGATTTTCTGTTCGACCCGTGGTAATCTTGACAGGAGCACCAGATTGGAACTTTCTAGCCAGATCCATAGCCGTCTTAAATGTCGCGGGAGGACAGCTTTGTTGTAGAAAATCCTAAATTTTACGAACATTCACGACACACGCCGAACTAACCCTTACGCTGTCTGGACTTGCCAACCTAAGGCAGCCACCACGGCAGGCTACAACGTAGGCTACGGAAAAAGTCAAGAGGAAAGACGGGGTCTGGACTAGTGCGTTGTCCCACAAGGTGAACCAGTCATCCTCCTCGAGAACTCCAGCGAACAGAAAACTCAATGTTGGCCAAATGTAGATCTAGAAGGCGCCAAGACATTAAAAAGTTGCAAATACGAGAGTCTAATCGCACCTAGAGCAAACATTTGCGTGAATTTGTGTAGCGATTTGCTTGCTATGCCCATAACGAAGGCAACTGCTAAGCCGATGTGACCCGTAGACCATTCATAGATTTGTAAGGAACACGACACGTGCTGCATACCCTGTACCAAAGCACCTCTTAGCATTCAAAGTGTTCGTGCACAAGAAAACCCACTCTAGCCCATGAAGGATGCTAAACAGAGAGGACTACAGGTGCGTGCAGCAGACATCGTTAGACATCACCTCGGGAGTGAGTCCGGTTGTCAAGAAGTGCCGGAATAGTCCGTGATCGTAGTATGCGAGAAGATTTGCAGCCGTGGAGAGGGCTCTCTCCGGGGGCATTGGGTAGGAGTCGAACAAAAACACGTAGCGTTCGTCTAGCAATGGAAAAGAACTCTGCGTAGGCCGTGACAACAGGTGCTGCAGGCAGAACAACATTGAGGCACCAGCTCACCGACTATCTTGAGGACAGCCTCGAAAGCGTAACAGAGGTGGTCGTGTCGAAAAAGCCGAACGAATGGCAAAACTACTGATGGCAGACGGCTAATGAAGGCGAATTTCCGGTTCGAGTGCACAAGAGCCGAACAGATCCTTGAAGAGGCGAAACGCAGAGATGTTTAGCAGTTACTGCGTACACAATTCCAAGATCATTTATACTAACGAAAACACGGACTGGGGTTCTTGCGCAGCCTGCGTGTTCAGGCGCCGCTGTACCTACCTCAGAACGTCGGATTGAAGATGCCTATCACAAGACGGCAATTGGTCACAGACGCCGAGGAAGTTGGAATGAATCCCCTTGTCAGTTAGTTGTTTGAACAATTTGACATTACCAGATAAATGCAACAAGCTCCGCCATAGGTAAGATCTGTAAAGATGAGGAACAAAAAGAGAGACTTACGTGGGGAGAACCAATCAGATTTCGGCCGCCTAACTTCGGTGTCAGTTTGTGCACCATTCGATGCATCAGTCTATCACAATTCTTCCAAGCTTGTGGATCACAGGTAGTTAGGTAAATTTAAACGACTTAAACATTGCCGGCATGACGTTAATTGACCGAAATGGCACGTAACTTGAAACAATATCTTCAGTACCGTAAAACATCATTCTATCAAATTTCAAAGGTTACCTACGCTGTAGAGGTCTTTGTTGGCTTTGAGGGACCCCACACACCCAAGGAGTCAATTTTCGTATTGTCCCTAGCCTCCAAAGTGGCGTTTCAATCTGACGAAAGCCAGCACTTTCGACGACACTTGGTTTTACCTTCAACCAGGTTTGGCTAAGGCATGAATCTGGTGCTAACACTTGAAAAATTTGTGCGGTCGTGAAAGCGGTAGGATATATTGGACCTCGACTATAGTGGATGAGGCTACTCAAGACCTTTAAGATGTTGAATGAGGTAAGATTTTGACCGCGTGCACAATTCATGAAACTCCGACGGCTGATGGAAATGACATTGCTACTGAAGTGGTTCGCAAGTGTTGTGAATCGTGTTTAGTCAGCCCCTTAATCCGATCGTTCCGCCTCTGACACAGGGCTCCCCTTTTTCGCAGCATAGCGCCAGCCGTGCAAATCCTCAATTCCCCCTTCGTTCACACGAATATTTATCTTGGATTAAGCTCACACCTAGGTCTCGATGTGAGCGCGCACACACACACACACAAAAACCCTACACGAAAAACCACATCTTCGTCAAGTCCTCGAATGAACGTTCGACTCTGTCCTTCCACCGACTTTATCTTTGTTGGGTAACTCGTGATATTAAGCATCCCAACACAAGCTTAAAAACATCAATTTTAACGCCAATGGTGCACTCCGCCAACTGACTGACGAGCACGTGCTTTTAAGCGAGACAGCCGACGCCAGACCACGCGAGTGATGGCTGAGCTAGTGCCTCGCAACAGGGAGATCATCTGTCGTCACTTGGGACCAATGGACAAGGCTCACAAGGTGAAAGCGTAGGTGCCATGTGAGTTAACGAAAAGTCGAGAACATTCGCGTTTCAAAGATCTACTTGCATGTTGCAGGGGCAGTCATGGACACAAATTAAGGTACCCGGATCGCGATGCCACTGGCAACGAGAAGTGACGCCTTTGCGCAAACTTCAAGAAAACGATGGAGCAGGCGGACGGCGGATGCTCCACATGGAACCAGAAAATCGTCCGACACCTCTGCAATTATTTTGCAGCCGAGTTCACATTCAACCACGGTCATGACGGTAACTCTGGAGCTGGACCTGGGGGGTTTGCCAGGCAGGTCAGACATTCCCCCCATCCGATCACGACATTTCCAACTCGCTTTCAAACCAAATGCGCAACATGAGATCAGAAAAAAAAAGTTTTAGGAATTGCCTTGACAACTGACACGAGAGTAGACCGGGTGTTTTTCGGCGATTAGTGGAAAATCATAAACGGTGAGGTAAAGATAACGCAATCAAACGATGGCATTATTTGGTCAAAACTTGGCTGTAATTAGACAATCGAAAAGAACCAAGAGATGGATTGCCCCCAACACCTTTCAAAGCTTGAATGTGCCTGAGTGTGGCTGCCGAAAACGTGGAAAGTGTCATACCGACCCCAATGTCGTGCACTCTGCGTGAGCAATTAACGGTGCAGGCATGAAAATGAAGCCCTAGTTAGCACACGAGTGAAAGATCACCATAACGTAAGTTTGTGGTGTTAGACATAACCAGATAGCATCCCAATGTTGACGACTGGTGCTCTTGAGTTTGACTATTTGACTTCAGGTTAACGCCTCATGTATCGACTCCAGATCTATCGACTGTCGGATTGTGGTGTTTACGCCGACACATGGTGACACACAGAAAAGAACAAGGTTTGTGGCTGGAAAAAAACCACAAGTTTCTTCGGACTCCGACGTTCTTTATCTTATGGCGCCTCGTGCTAAAAATCACGCCTAAACACGCACTTACGGAAGTGTTAGGTCGAGAATGTGGCGACAGTCTTCTGCTAATGTTACTATAAAGAAAAAGCCTTAAACCCCGTGTGGAGAAACCTTCGCAATTGCTAAATTAATTAAAATACGTGAGTCTACTCATATGCAATAGCGCTTTCGCAAGCCAGCTACGTAACAAGAATAGATTTCGTGTCCGGCCCCCATGGATGAAGGGCCAGGGCATTTTTAAGAACTCACCGATGCTGAGGCGGAAAGTTTTGATACTCGTTGAGCATTAGACGCAATTTTCGGGGTTCCAAAAGCTTCCTTAACTGGAAAAGAGAATGCAAAAATGGTAAATTTACACCCAAGGAACTTTTTCTGCATAAAATTGTATGAAGTACCACCCACAATCATTGTTAGGCTAGCATGGCCTCGCAATTGGACGTGTGTCAAGAGTACAAGACTGGGAATCATGAAATTCAGACGTGTTATGACCAGAACTCGATATTCAGTGAGGACAGTATTGCCAGGAGGCATTAGTCGAGTAAATGGCTACCTCAACCACTAGGTGGAGGTTGGATTTTGGGTCCGACTCCCGCCGAGGTCTGATTCTTACCGATGGTAGGTGTGATGCCTGGTCAAAAAGAGTGCCTCAGAGTAAGCAATGTCTACCCAAGTTCCGTGCCCCACACTAAACCACGTTGTTGAGACATAACGCCAGGCAATTGACCTCTTTGTTTGCCACGGTGGACCTGGGGGTAGCTGGTCCATCCACTCGCTTCTTTTGAATATCGAGAGGAGGAGGAGGAGAAGGATTAGGATCAAGGTGTGCAGTTTCCGGGTTTTGCGGGCCCTTACCAGAGGCCTGTCAAGAACACGGAAGGAACAAACTCATAAAATGCCTATTTGCGACAGTCTGATGTAACATGCAACTGTGGACCTTTCACGCTATAGCTATAGCCTCACAATGATAGCTCTGGTCTGAAAATCTCTAGCACCATGCTGATTTTAGTCCGTTGGGACATAACCTAAGCACCAGCATGTTCGATTTCACATTACTGGATTAATTGACTTGAAACTTCAACTGCTTTGATGGACCAACTCACAGTGAGTACCATCTAGCATCACGGAAGCGCCTATGCCCAAATGGCATGTGCAAACAATTAAAGTAGACGATAACGTTGAGTCTCAGCAACGTCTACGAGTACCCGACCTTGAGACCACTCAATCAGTGACAAGTAGACGGAGGAGGCAGGGCACGCGACTACCACTAAAACTACTTTATGACAGTCAAAATGGCTAAATATGAGGAGGAAGTGTGATGTCTTCAAGGAGAGGCTTTAATTTACTGCGTTAGTGTATCCGAACATCAGCAAGACGAGGCGCAACAAATGGAAGGTGAGAAAAAATGCACAGGGCGTCAGAACACTGTTACTCCACCGTTGGCCAATCAGAAGTATAAGGCAGAGAGGGTCGAGCAATGACTAACCTCGGACCAGGCCAGCGACGGAGTGAGGGGCCTCCTCTCATCTTCGTTGTTGTCAGTTGGTTTTTTCGGGTCCGGACGCAGCGACTTGCAACAGAAGGCTTTGTTCTCGTGGGGGGAGGGATTCGTTTTGCTTGTGACAACGTAGGTCGGCGGGGAAGATGTCTGAAATTCACCAATTAAAACGCTTTTCGATAGCACCTTGTCAGAGTAGACCGACAAAACATTAGCGAGAGGACGTCGTAGGTGATAAAACGGTGCAGGTTTGGAGTTACGCTTCTGTGAAAAGGGTGTGTTTGTAAGCAGGTGAGAGAGGAACTGCCAAAACTCAAAAAACGATGCATTGAAGAGTAGTATTTCAAGCGACAGAACCGTGGAACTCGTATCCACAGAGGCTTAAATGGCGAACTAGACATGTCCCTGTTACTGGCCTAAAGCCTGATCAAATCAATGACATAAAGGCGAAATAGGCAACGAATTAGGCCCAAGAAGCAACGTTACCCGCGGCTTGGACAGACGTTGGAAGTCGAAAAAACTAAGACCTCCATCCGAGGCGATGGTTGCCAAGTGGCTGGAGGCCACTCCGCAGGCAAAGGATAGAACAAGCGGATCTTCACGCGTCCCCAGTCCCACGGAGTAGATCTCGTTCCAAGGAGAGGGACAAGTCCCGCGCACGGTACCACTCTTGGTGCCAGACGCTCTGTGGGATATCCTGGGTGTCGCGCTTCGGTGCACGAGTCGAACCCTACCGTCCGACCCGAGAATGGCAAGACTTCCTCCCTAAAATCATGTGGAATATGATTTAGGCGCAGTGGGCCGGACTACGAAGTTACGCATGAAGTGATATCGAAACTCTGGTCCACGATTGCGCCCAAGCCTAGAGATCACCAACGGCTTACCAGCGCACCTGGACTGTCCACATATCAGGTGCCGTTTTCTCCGAACTTTGAGAAAAAATTGAGCCAGCCACCTGAGCCTTTAGACATCGGAAATTAATTCATCCAAAGGAGAATAAAATTGAAAAACGCCTGACACTTAGTTTGATGCGACGTTGCCTTAAAGGTCTCACATCTACCCGCATTCTATTTCAATTACAATACTACATCACCTACATTTTTGTGAAAATAATCGATTCATTGGGACCCATTTTTGGGGACAGCAATCCAAAAAACTCCACGATTTCAAGTGGTTATCCCACGGACCAGATAAAGACCCACCACCACCACAAAATCAATTGACTCGGCGCGCTACTCGAAAGGCCAACGCGGTT